AAGTATTCAATCTACAATTTAATAAACAGTAAATCCAATAAGAATCCTTAAGAAAAAAGAACTTCCAGAAAATGTTTAGAGCATTTTAGTTTTCATTTGTTGTATGTGACCAAATGATTTATTATTTCATCACTTTGCAGTGATTGGCTCTTTTGTTTTTGCACAGCAGTTGGGCCAACCTCTGCTGCCGGTCAGCTGTGATTCTTACTTGGCTAAGGCTCTGCATTGCCATTCTGTCAATGGCAGAAAGACTGCAGTTATTAGTTTTTCTACTTTGAAGCTATGGGAGCAAGGGTAATTTCAAGACTGAGCAGGACATCTTTTTTTTTTTTTTTTTTTTTTTTGAGGCAGAGTTTCATTCTTGTTGCCCAGGCTGGAGTGCAATGGCATGATCTTGGCTCATTGCAATCTCTACCTCCCGGTTTCAAGTGATCCTCCTGCCTCAGCCTCCCGATTTAGCTGGGACTAGAGGCCTGCACCACCATGATTGGCTAATTTTTGTATTATTAGTAGAGACAGGGTTTCACCATGTTGGCCAGGCTGGTCTTAAACTCCTGACCTCAGAAGATTCACCCGCCTCGGCCTTGCAAAGTGTGGGTATTACAGGTATAGTCACTGTGCCCCGGCTCTTTTTTTAGAAATAAATTTATCTTTAACATCTAAGTTATGCCACCTGATTTTAGTAGATACCTATGTTTTGATCTTGACCAGTACAACTCCCATCAATTCAAGGCAAGTTAGGGTTCTCTTGGCTTGACATCATTAAGAAAGTTCCTGAAACTATGTTTGATGCTGGTTCATTGGACTTTTCAAACCGCTTTGTTTCTGTGTCCCTACCAGGTGCAAAGATGAAGCTTGCCAGCTGGTTACCCCAAGCCAACTCATGCTGCTGACCACTGACTCAGCTCTGACCTTCGCATTTGCTCTAAAGCAAGTGCGTTCAGCTGCTGGGGCAGTGATTTCACATAGCACATATATTATTTTCTTAGTTTATTTCCAAACTGGTATTTTAAATAGACACTTTGAACTTTGCACTACTCTGTTTAAACTTGCCACTTTCAGGACTGGATAGTACTGTATACTCTTTTTAAAGAATAATAATGTTAAACTGCTGAGATTTTTATGTATTCTGTGACTTTGTAACAACTGCTATTGTAATAGGTATCACCTTGTGGGCATTATAAAATAATGACATTTTTGTATAGAAGATTCAGCTGTTCAGATGTAAGATGTCAAAAAATGTTAAAATCTAAAGAGTAATTTATCCTAGTGGTAATGGTTATATGTATTTGTACAGTTATTAATATCTCAAAGCTGTGCAGTCTTTTGTGTTACTGGGAAACTCTGAATAGATATTAAAATAAATATGGTTAACTAGTGTGTTTTCATTATGTTTTTAAACCTTATATTCTGAATGCTATTTGTTGTTGTTGTCTTAATTAGTAGACTTTAAAAAAAGCAGTTTTAGGGCCTGGCACAGTGGCTCATGCCTAGAATCCCAGTACTTTGGGAGGCCAAGGCAGGCAGATCACTTGAGGCCAAGAGTTCAAGACCAGCCTGACCAACATGGTGAAACCCCATCTCTACTAAAAATACACAAAAATTAGCTGGGTGTGGTGACTGGCACCTGTAATCCCAGCTACTCAGGAGGCTGAGGCAGGAGGATTTCTTGAACCCAGGAGGCAGAGGTTGGAGAGAGCCGAGATCATGCCACTGCACTCTAGCCTGGCCACAGAGCAAGACTCCGTCTCAAAAAAAAAAAAGCAGTTTTATGTTTATGAAAATATTAATCAGAAAGTCGAGTTCCCATATGCCCCTTTATCTCACCCTCCCGAATTTTCCCTGTTATCAAAATCTTGCATTCATGTAGATCATTCATTACAACTGATAAGCCAGTATTGATACATTGTTATTAACTAAAGATCACAGTTTATATTAGGGTTCACTCTTTGTGTTGTACACTATGGGTTTTGAAAAAATACGTAAGGACATGTATACACCATTATAGTATCATAAGAATCCTTTCACTCCCTCAAAATCCTGTCCTCTCCCTATTCATCCTTCTCTATCTTGCCCTGAACCGCTGGCCACCGCTGACCTCATTACTGTGCCTCCATAGTTCTTCTTTTTCCAGGATCACCTGGGGTCAGGAGTTAGAAACCAGCCTGGCCAACATGGGGAAACCCCATCTCTACTAATACAAAAACATTAGTTGGGTGTGGTGGCACATGCCTGTAAACCTAGCTACTCGCGAGGCTGATACATACAGGAGAATCACTTGAACCCGGGAGGCGGAAGTTGCAGTGAGCCAAGATCGCGCTATTACACTACAGCCTGGGCGACGAGCAAAACTCCGTCTGCAAAAACAAAAAAAATAAAAGAAACTGCCAAACTATCCTCCAAAGTATCTGTACCATTTTGTATTTCCTGCAGCAGTGAATGAGAGATCCTGCTGCTCCACATCCACACCAGGGTTTGGTGGCATCAGTGTTTTGGATTTTGGTCATTATTTAGGTGTGTAGTGGCATCTCACTGCTATTATATGCACTCTAATGATGTTGAGCACCTTTTCATCTGCATTGCCATCTGTCCGTCTTCTTTGGTGAAGTATCTGTTCAGATCTTTTGCCCACCTTTAAATTGGGTTATTTTCTGACTATTGAGTTTTTTTTTCTTTCTTTCTGAGACAGAGCCTCACTCTGTTGCGAGGTGCCAGGCTGAAGTGCAGTGGTGCGATCTCGTGGCGCAACCTCCACCTCCTGGATTCAAGCAATTCTCCTGCCTCAGCCTCCCGAGTAGCAGGAACTACAGGCACACACCACCATGCCCAGCTAATTTTGTATTTTAGTGGAGACGGGGTGTCACCATGTTGGCCAGGATGGTCTCGATCTCTTGACCTCATGATCCCCCCGCCTCGGCCTCCCAAAGTGCTGGCATTAATCTCAAAGGCCTCAGGTGATCCTCCCAAAGTGCTGGGATTACAGGCATGAAACATCACTCCCAGCTATCAGAGGCATTAAACAAGACAGTTCTATCAGTAGGGGAATGGTAAACTAAATGGGAAACATCAGCACAACTTAAAGCCATTAAAAAGAATTCGATCTCTAATAAAGGGTTGAACCCAGTTGTGCTACAGTTTCATGCCTTTGAGGCACTCTATGTATTGCTCCATCTACCTGAGACATTTGTCCTTGTCTATGAATTCCTCATAGGCAACTGACAAAAGTTCATGCCAGCTGACTCAGTAATCAATTGACAAGACTCAGTTTAACTATTGGTTCCTTTGTGCAGCTTCCCTTGACTCCCTAAACAGAAATGCCCACTCCCCTCCTTGGTGCCCCCACAGTAATATGGATCCACCTTCATTACACTTATTTCTATATTGCCTTTGTTTAGATGTCCGCCTCTTCCACTATACTCCAGAAAGGCAAGCACCACAGCTTGTTCCTTGCACTGCTAGGACCCAGCACAACCCTTAGGACAGTAAATTCTCAGGGATCTTTGCAGAGAAGCGAGGACAAGGGGACTTGGCAAGGGCTATGAAGACCTCCTGCCTCCATCAGTGGGCAGCCTTAGAATTTTCTAGGCTGATGGCTGGGAACCAAATAGTCACAAAGGAACCTACCTGGAACCTAAACTAATTCCCACCTTCAGGGAACCTTGTCATTCAGGATCCAGGTCCTCCTCTAGGACCGAAGGTGGCAAAATGTGTGCCCTTTGGAAACACTCCATGATACATGAAGAAAGGGACAAAGTCACGATTCAAAATCTTAGCTGTGGAAGCCTGGGAGGATGGTGGGTTTAGATGATCTATGGACTTCTGATGCCTCTACCACTGCAATACAAGTGCCCTTAATTGTCCAGTGTCCTATAAAAAAGGATGGAAAACTAGAACACTTTCAAGGGGCTTATGCAAATACATAAAGTGCCTGAATTATACTCTAAACTCAACCATTATCAGTTAGGGTAGATCAGTAGTAAATATCCTTACCTTTTTAAAAAAGGAATGAAAACTAAAGCAAGGGGTACCAGATTGAGTTAATTCCTCATGCTGAAACAAAAATAAAGTGAACCAAAAATATACCAGTATTCAGTTAATGTGTCCAATGTGGAGACCAAACTACTAGGTGATTCAAGCTCTAGGTGGGTCTTCTAATTAACAACAATCAAAAAAAAAAAAAAACACCAGCTTTTTTTTTTTTTTGCTATGCAGTCCTAATCTTAGAAATCCTCAGTGGCCAGGTATGGTGGCTCATGCTCATTACCCCAGCACTCTGGGAGGCCAAGGAGAGAGGATCGCTTGAGGGAAGGGTTTACCAGTCTGGACAATACAGCAGGACGCTATCTCTATAAAAAAATAAAACAAATAAGCCAGGCATGCTGACATGCGACAGTAGTACCAGCTACTCAGGAGGCTGAGGTGGGACGAGTGAACCCAAGAGTTTGAGGCCACAATGAGGTATGATTGCACCACTACCCTCTAGCCTAAGCAACAGAGAAAGACACTGTCTCCTAAAAAAAAAAAAAAAAAAAAATCCTCAGAGATCCTTTTGAAAGAAGCTTCAATGCAATGTACAATCAAGTATCTTTCCTTGGTCCTTAAATTACTCAAAATAGGTAATTCCTAAATATTAACAAAATACTTTCATGTTTCTATATCTTGCTAGCAACATCTCATTCTATGAACTAGACAGCTCTGGCAATGAAGACACCATAGGAAATATTACTTATAGTAAACTATATTTTCACTGATATTTCATTTAACATAATTTCAAAGTCAGGCTATGCTTTAAGACGAGCAAAAGAACAGATATTCTAAATCTCATAAGAGAGTTTTTCACACTGTTCCTCTGAGCAGGGAATGGGGTTTCAGGGTTCTCAATGACAACACCTAACATTTTACCATGGAGATTTACCTGTAGATACAGAAAGAAGCAATAACATCAATATACAAGAATCTATCTCTATGAGGGTCTCAATAAGCTTGCGGTACATACTCACCACCTCTGTAGGGTTGTAATGATAACGACTGATTTTCCACTCCTCTGCCAAATTTGGTGTCTTTTTTTTTTTTTAGGCAAAATGTCAGAAATGCAAAAAATCTGCCCTTATTTCTCTTAATACAATGAAAATAGTGGAAGATTCAGATTTGAATTCTTCATGAGTCCAGCTTGGAGCACAACTTCTACTCATTGTATGCCATCAACATTCGAACTCCAACTTTGGCGACCATCAGCAAACTATTCAAAAGAAGCAGACAGAAAACGTCAGGTAAAGGACAGAACAGGCAACTATGTTTTTAAGGAACTAAACTCTGCAGGTTCGTCACAACTGTGTGGGGGAGGAGGTACTAAGGCAGGAGTGGTCATGGGTAAAATTTCCATCTCTGGAGGAACCAGAGAAAAGAAGGCCAAGGAACAGTATCATTCTGAGGTCTTAAAATAGCACACATGAGCTGGATCCTAACGCAACTCCAATAATTTGAAGAAACGGAGGCAAGAGAGAGCAAGGCCTCCCGCTACACAGAGCTAATTAATGGTAGAACCTAAAGCCTCTCAGTTTACTGCTCTTGATCTAGCTCCACACTGACTCTTTTGCTTCAGGTATAAAACATTATACTGGCAGCATCATGATCATGAACAAAATAGAGGTATGCAATCTTTCTCCAAAATAGGCTTTTTAAAATTCCCCTGCCTTTAAGATGTCTTTATCATACTTAACAATTGAATTTTTTTTTTTGAGATGGAGTCTCACTCTGTTGCCCAGGCTGGAGTGCAGTGGCACGATTTCAGCTCACTGCAACCTCCGCCTCCCTGGTTCAAGTGACTCTCCTTCCTCAGCCTCCTGAGTAGCTGGGATTACAGGCATGCACCACCACACCCAGCTAATTTTTTATTTTTCATAGAGACGGAGGTTTCACCTTGTTGGCCAGTCTGGTCTCGAACTTCTGACTTCAAGTGATTCACCCGCCTTGGCCTCCCAAAGTGCTAGGATTACAGGTGTAAGACACTATGCCTGGCCTACAACTGAATTTTTTTAAAATCACAATTTGGTTTAGGTTTTATAATCAAAATTAGAAAACAGGATTCAATCAAAATTCCCTTTCAGCAAAATTTTCTATAAAAGTCACCTATACATCTAAGAAATATGGGACCCCCCCACACACCCACCTCAAGTCACACAAAAGGCTGCAGTCGTGGCTTTGCATTAAAACTTCGGCCACCATGGGGAGGAGCTAGGATGGACCAGAGAACAAACACGAGAACAAAGCCATTTCCACAGTGAATGGATATACTCATGCCATTTTGACATTAAACCAACTATTGCTTTTAAAGCATTTTCTACTAGCGTATAAATCAAATGTCAGTTGATGCATCGCATCCGATATCCTAAAACAAGTAAAGTTTTGAATGCACAAAGTATCCTGGGCAATATACTGAACTCCACATGGTAAAGAAGAGTAATAGAATGGAAAGTACCTGGCACCTGCGATTAAACCTACAGGCATGACTTTTCCATAGTAGTAGGATCTCAATGCCATAACAGCAGCAAAGGTACCAGATGTAGCGGCTGAAAAAGATACAAAGAAGGAAGAAAACTCATTACATCTTCTACGCAGGGGAATCAGAAGTGGGCCAAGCCCCACTTACCTCTCAAGGCTCACGCCTCATCCTATGCTTATTCCTCCTGCCCCCGGTAGGGGGAGATTACTGGCTGCTCAAATCCTATGGATCCAATTACCAATATTGGTCAAATAGGGCCCTTCAAAGCCTGGGCCCTGTCTGCCCTTCCGGCCTCATCTGTTTCTCACCACTCATCTTCTGCAAAACCCACACTTCAGCCATCAATGTGTTAGTTTTCTCCAAAATGCTGCTGTTTTTCATGCCATGCAGACACTATTTCCCACTGGCTATCTGTCAAAGCACCTACTACATGTCAAGCACTGTATTAGGTACTGGAGAATACAAAGGTAATCAAAACTGTCTTTGCCCTTTTACAATGCTTCAGGTCTGATGCGACAGACTTTAAAGAAACACACAAAGAAAAAGAAAGTACAATTTGTGCTTCAGGTATAATTGATGCTACACAAAAAAGCATAACAGGGGGATCACCCTACTCAGGGAGATCATGCAAGGCTTAGCCAAGGAAGGGAAGATTGGCTGGGATCTGAAATTACAGCAGGAGTCAATGAGCTGAAGGATGGGAAGGACCATTCCAGGGAGAGGGGACAGTATGTATATGCAGAGGCCCCGGAATGAGAGGGAGCACAGCACATTCACCCTAAAAGGCCAGTGTGGCACTGAAGTCAAGATGCAGCTTGTGAGGAGGAGGTGCCTGAAGACCTGGAGCCTTGAAGGCCATACTAGGGATTGGGTTTTCATTGTAAGAGCAATGAGAAGTTATTAAGGAATACTAAGCAGACAGACACATGAACGGAACTGCATTTTTCTTTTTTTGAGACAGAGTCTCACTCTACTGCACAGGCTGGAGTGCAGTGACATGATCTTGGCTCACTACAAACTCTACCTCCTGGGATCAAGCAATTCTCGTCTCAGCCTCCTGAGTAGCTGGGACTACAGGTGCCCGCCACTATACACAGCTAATTTCCGCTCCCCCCCTTTTTTTTTTTTACAAGTTTAATGCAAATAATACTGAGTAAATACATTCCTGAAGTATGGAAATCTTTCCATATTCTGTACATAAATAATAAACAGAAACCAGCATGATTCCCACCACCTTACCCCTATTTTAAAACTTTCCAAGGACTTGGTAGAAGAAGTGTAACTGTCGTAAGTTAAGTATGATGAACTCGCCCCATCCCACCAAACCAGGGCCTTTTGGAAAAGACTAATCAGGATACACAGCTGCCCTAAGGACATACAAAAGCAGACATACCTAGGAAAAGCCAAACATTGTTTGGATCCTGAGACAGCTGGTAAGAACCCAGGCCGGCTAGGCTGCCGAAGAACAGCCCCACAACCAAGGATGGCACTCTGCCTAGAGGGAAGCAAACACAGCTTCATTTTAACATGAGGCACTTACTTCACTAACAGAATCCACCAGACACCCCTCCCTACAAAGAAAGACAGCAAAGAGAACTCTCAGCTCATAACCAAGGTGGAAACAAGCAGGAGGATGTTTCAGGGACTTTTCTATCTTATCAGGGAAGCCAGGGTCTTCCCACCCCATCTTTTTCTTCTCTAATAAGCAGGGCACTTCCATCTAAGGAAAGGAAAGAAGGCCATCTTCCCTCCTTACATGGAACTGTGGCTAGGCCTTCTTTCTAGTCAGGCCTGATCAACCATGATCAGGCAGGTTATACAGGCAGGACCTCCAGCAAATCACAAAAGGAGAGGGGGAAACAGTCAGTCAGTTAAAAAAAAATTAAAAATCTTGAGAATAAGAATTCTGGGGCAGGGGTTGGGGTGGGAATGTAGGCAAGGACAAGGGGGCAGAAACAAGCACAGCCACTGACACACCCCTGCCTGGCCTAACGAGGAGACTTCAAAGCACAAGTCTGTGAAGACCAGAGGTTTCCTCCTACTTGAGGCCAGAGATGGCACTTGGGGGCCATGGTTGATGCATGGCAATCAACAGTAACAATCTACAATCACCCCTGTCTGTCTTTAGATAAAGAGGCAAAAACAAAGAATTCTACAAGAAGGCTGGCTTGGCTTTGGCAGATAACCAAAGGCAAGTATAGGAGCTGCAAGACTGACAAGGAAGCCTGCACTCCAGCTTGGGGACCTACAGCAAACCTGACTCAAAGGAGATGGCTCCTCAGACAAGTGCCTGTTTGCAACAACAACAAAAAAGCAAAAAAAAGGATGTGGCTCTTCAGGGAGCCTGAGCACTCAGTTTTCACTCTAACAACGTGAAGATGTTAAGAGGCTAACGACAAAAGCATACCTGTTTTTACATAGCCAAAGATCCCGCCGGAAGCAACCAGTGCTGTGTAGCCATAGCCCAACCAAAGCAAAGGCACTCTGAAAACACCAGGGGGAGAAGTCAGTGCCAACCAGGCTTTGTAAACAAACCATACTGTCATAGGATGGAACTACAAGGTAATCATTCCTGCCAGGTGGGGTGGCTCATGCCTGTAATCCCAGCACTTTGGGAAGCCGAGGCAGGTGGATCATGAGGTCAGGAGATAGATCATCCCGGCCAACATGGTGAAACCCCATCTCTACTAAAAATACAAAAATTAGTCGGGCATGGTGGTGCACACCAGTCCCAGCTACTCAGGAGGATGAGGCAGGAGAATCCCTTGAACCTGGGAGGTGGAGGTTGCAGTGAGCTGAGATTGTGCCCCTGCACTCCAGTGTGATAACAGAGCGAGACTCCATCTCATAAAAAAAAAAAAAAAAAGAAAAGGTAATCATTCCTGACATGTCTTATCACTGAAAATAAGGCCCACAGAGGTTGAATGACTTTCTGAAAGTCACACAACTCAGCAAAACCAGAGCTGGGACTCAAATCCAAGTCTCTGGCACACAGGTCTGTCCAGTGATCCTCCCACCCCCCCATGCTGTCCAGGCAGTCTACCTTTAGGGTTTTCAGCTGAGGAAAGGAACTCTGGTTTCCAGAAGCTCCTGGCTACTCCATTGCCATTTATTGTCCATTCACATTGGGGTGAAGCCCTTCTCCATTCTTCTCTTTTCTGTCCAGACAGGAGAGTACCCTAGGCCTGCACCTGCAGGAAACAGGCTGGATCAGAGGCGGTTAAAAGCACAGCTCTCCAGCAGTCAGAAAGAAGTGTGTCCAACCTGCAAGCTACGCAACCTAAGTCTCAGCATCCTTCACTGTACCATGGGGATAACACTGCTACCAATTTCCTGGGGCTGTTGTGAGCATTCCGGGTGGGGGGGTCACAGGTAAAGGTGCTTAGCACATAGTAAACGCTGAACAGATGCCGACCATTGTCATCAAAACCTCAATTCTAATCACAGCAAACTGAGCAGGACCCACTGACCAGCTCTACAATCAGGTAACGTGTTAGCCATTTCATCAGCTAACCATACCACCACTAAATCGGAAAGCAAGTACTCCCGTGCCCTTAATCCAACTATTTTAAGGTCTCTTTTTGGGGGAGGTAGGGGTGTTGCTTTTCGTCCCTGCCAAAACACCCAATTTCAATATTCAACTTTTTTAGAAACTTCTGCATCCAACTCACAGGTTTTTTTTGGGGGGGGGGAAGGGATGGAGTCTCACTCTGTCGCCCAGGCTTGAGCGCAGTGACACGGTCTCGGCTCACTGCAACCATCGCTACCCTGGTTCAAGCGATTCTCCTGCCTCAGCCTCCCGAGTAGCTGGGATTAGAGGAATGCGCCACCACACCCGGCTAATTTTTGTATATTATTACAGACGGGGTTTCACCATCTAGGCTGGTTCACCTCGTTACACCCGCCTCGGCCTCCCAAAGTGCTGGGATTACAGGTGTGAGCCACAGCGCCCGGCCCCTACTCACAGTTACAGTTAGGAGGACGGATAAAATATGGGGTGGATAAGGGGAGGATGAAATATAAGGAAACCCTAGTCATATTCACATCTGACACTGCACCCTTGGAAAATCAGCTTTTATTTTCTTACAGAAAACTATCTTGTATCTAGTGAGCCTAACGAGATGGAAAGCAATACACACCCCGTTTATTTTGTTTAAAGAATCAGGCCGGGCAAGGCAGAAGTGGGAGTCTGGTTTGAGCTCTGGAGGCAGAGGCTGCAATGAGACATATTCTGCGCTCCAGCCTGGGCGACAGAGCGAGACCCTCCCTCAAAAAAAATTTAATTTCCATAAAACGAGGAAGGGCAGGGGGCTTGGGATCTTGCCCACAGTTCTTAACTGGAGGCCGCGATGAGTTAGCGAGGCTTTTAAAGAGATGGAGCAACAAAACCTCCAGGAAACGAGGCAACATTATGCTACACGGGTGGGCCTTTGCCTCAGGAGCTCAGGGGCTCCGCGTGTCCACCACCACTTTTAAGACAAGCAGAAAATACTCAACGAGAAAAGCACCGACCGCACCGACTAAAGGCCCGGCTGAATCGGGGGAACGAAAAGCAGACGGCCGTGAAACTCTTAAATAATCCCTAAAAGCTAAAAGAGGCAGAAAATAATAAGACTATCCCCCAAGGGTCCGCACCGATCTTCCGAAGGCACTCACGGTCCACACGAGCACAGAAGCCGCGGGGCAAGACAGCCAGGTCTCGCCGGAAACGCGGCAGCGTTCTTTCTGCCTCCCGGGGGCGCGACAGGGCGGAGAGAGGGGCAGGGCGTTGTGTACCGTTGTGTTCCCTGCCTGTCCCTCTCCCGGTACACTGCGTTGTGTACCGTGTGCGCAGTGTACCGGGAGAGGGACAGGCAGGGAATAGGGATGGCGGCAGCGGAGCTAGAGCTAGAGCAGCAGAGCGACAGCAGCAAGCGCCTTGCATCCTGGGGGCAGGGAGTCGGACGGGGCGTGGCGGCGCTCCAGGAAGTCACGGGAACTGGTCGGGGAATCTCTGCTTCCGCTGTCCCCAGGCTCAGCGCCTGCAGGGCCGACCAGCACCAGTCCCAGGTTCTATCCTGAGTGGCCAAAAGCCAGAAACACGGAGTTGGAATTGGGTCTTGCACAAGCTGGACCACGTGAGCTGCGCCAGGCCGGAGGTGGAGGCCACCGCTGCGGGAGGAGGGCTTGTGAGGCTGGATTCTGAAGAACCCCATTAATAGAGGGACAAGTTACCGAGTATAAACCAGATACGAGCCATCAGGAATGATTGTCACTCTAGCCCGATCTCGTTTGTTTACACCAAAAAGGACCTGCCTTCTACCTGCAAGAAAACATGGCGGCTGCAGAATAATGTGGCTCACTGCCAAATATCCGATTGTTTTAGGGAGTGAGGCTACTTGAGAAACATCTTAAAGGAGGAGAGAGAGCAAGTTAAATCTGATCTCCACCCAGCTCTGTGGATCCCAAATGTCCACAGCGTGACGTTATCTCCATTCCCACCTCCGAGCCGCTCCTCTTCTGTTTCCTGCACCACCATTCGCTCGGTTGGTCTACACTAATATTTGCTGTCATCGTTGACTTCTCCTCTCCTTCATCCCATGCAAGTATCAACATAGACAAATCTGATCAATAGAATCGGCTGGGCGCAGTGGCTCAAGCCTGTAATCCCAGCACTTTGGGAGGCCGAGGCGGGTGGATCACGAGGTCAAGAGATCGAGACCATCCTGGTCAACAAGGTGAAACCCCGTCTCTACTAAAAATACAAAAATTAGCTGGGCATGGTGGTGCGCGCCTGTAGTCGCAGCTACTCGGGAGGCTGAGGCAGAAGAATTGCTTGAACCCAGAAGGCGGAGGCTGCGGAGAGCCGAGATCGTGCCATTGCACTCCAGTCTGGGTAACAACAGCGAAACTCCGACTCAAGAAAAAAAAAAAAAAAAAAAAGAATCATCAGTGAATAAAGCAAATTGTAGCGCATATTCTTAAGGAAAAACTTAAAACTTGCAGCAGCACCTACCTTCCAGATAGCAAAATTGAAGCCCGTGTTTATCATAGTTGATTCTAACCAGCCAAAGCCGATAATCACCAAGAACCTGCGGCAACTGAGTATGCCAGACCTTCACTTTAATTGAAGACTTTCCTGAACAATTAATAGGGAGACTCGTCTTAACCGGCAGGGAATGGCTTTAAGGACTCATTCTTCCCTATGCAGGGGCAAGGTCAAACCTTAATTAGGATCATCCACAATGATCCTCTCGTCCTTCCCCCACCTTATACATGAAGAGACTGAACCTCTGAGAATTAAATTACCTACATTCCTGGTCAGGGGTAGAGCTATTATTTAAAGTAAGGTCTAAGTCAAAGCCCACGTCCTTAACTCTACAATATGCTGCCTCTTGTAGTGTCGTTCCTCAACCAGAACACATACCTCTTCTGTGTAGGTACAGAGGGCAAGCACCCAGCACAACCCTTGTGACAGTAAATATTCCAGGATCCTTTCAGAGAAGCGGGGACAAGGGGAGTTGGCAAGAGCTATGAAGACCTCATGCCTCCCATCAGTGGGCAGCCTTAGAATTTTCCAGGCTGATTGCTGGGGACCAAATAGTCACACAGGCATCAACTTGACACCTAAATTCCCACATTCAGGAGGAGCCAGGTCCTCCTCTAGGACTGAAGGTGGCAAAATGTGTGCCCTTTGGAAAACATTCCATGACACGTGAAAAAATGGCCAACATCATGATTCAAAATCTTAGCTATAGAAGCCTGAGAAGATAATGGGTTTGGATGGTCTATGGCCTTCTGATGCCTCTACCACTGCAACACAAGTGCCCTTAATTGTCCGGTGTCCTATAAAAAAGGATAGAAAACTAGGACCAATTTCAAGGGGCTTATGCCAATACATACAATGCCTGAATCATACTGTAAACCAATGCCAGTTAGGGTAGAGCTCAGTAGCTAGTATCCTTTCCTTTTAAGGAGGGAATGAAAACTAAAGCAAGGGGTACCAGATTAATTCTTCATGCTGAAACAGGAATAAAGTAAACTAGAAATGTGCCAGTATCCAGTTAATGTATCCAATGTAGAGAACAAATTAGGTGATTCAAGCTCTAGATGAGTCTTCTAGTTTCACATTTAAGTATGAAGTAATTAACAACAACAAAAATACCTTTTTTTTTCTCTACACAATCCTAATCTTAGAAATCCTCAGTGGCCAGGTACAATAGCTCATGCTTATTACTCCACCACTTTGGGAGGCCAGGAGAGAGGATCACTTGAGACCAGGAATTTGAGACCAGCCTGGGCAACATAGCAAGATCCCATCTCTACAAAAAAATGAAATAAATTAGCAGGGTGTGGTGATACGCACCAGCTGTACCAGCTACTCAGGCGGCTGAGGTAAGATGATTGAGCCCAAGAGTTTGAGGCTACAGTGAGATGTGATTGCACCACTGCCCTCTGGCCTCGGTGACAAAGACCCTGTCTCTTGAAAAACAAAGAAAATCCTCAGAGATCATTTTTGAAACAAGCATCAATGCAATGTACAATCAAATAACTTTCCTTGGTCCTTAAATTACTCAAAATCAGTTTCTAAATAGCAACAAAATACTTACATGTGTCTCTATTTTGCTGCTATCAACATCTCATTCTATGAACTAGACATAGAACTCTAGCAATGAAGACATCATAGGAAATATTATTTATAGTAAACTTTATTTTCATTGGTATTTAATTTAACATAATTTCAACATGAGTCTGTGCTTTAAGATGAGCAAAAGAACAGATACTGTAAATCTCATAAGGTATTTTTTCACACTGTTCCTCTGAGCAGGGAATGGGGTTTCAGGGCCCTCAAAGTTGACACCTGACATTTTACCCTTGAGATTTACCTATAGATACAGAAAAAAGAGATAACATCAATATCCAAGAATCGATCTCTATGAGGGTCTTATGAAGCTCTTCTGTAACATACTTGCCACCCCTGTAGGACTGTAATCATAACGACTGACTTTCCACTTCTCTGCTACGTTTGGTGGCTTTTTTTTTTTTTAGGTAAAATGTCAGGTGCAAAAAATGCTGCCTTTATTTCTCTTCATACATTGAAAATAGTATAATATGCCAGATTTTTAATTCTTCATGAGTCCAAGCTGGAACATGACTTCTGCTAATGGGGTCTGCTGAACATACTAAGTCCAACTTTGGCAACCATCAGCAAACTGTTTAAAAGAAACACAGATAGAAAACTGTCAGGTAAAGGACAGAACAGGCAACTGTTTTTAAGGAACTACACTCCAGGTTCCTCACAACTGCATAGGGGAGGAGGTACAAAGGCAAGAGCTGGTCAGAGGTAAAATTTCCATCTTTGCAGGAACCAGAGAAAAAGCATGCCAAGGGACAGTCTCACACTGAGGTCTTAAAATAGCACACACGAGCTGGATCCTAATGCAACTGCCAACAACTTAAAGAGATGAAGTGGAGTCAAGAGAGAGCAAGACTTCCCCACCACACAAAGCTAATTAATGGTAGAATCTCCAGCTTTTCAATTTACTGCTCTAGACCTTGATCCACACTGACTCTTTTGCTTCAGGTATATAACATTATACTGGCAGCATCACAACTACAATTAGAGCATGCAATTTTTTTCCAAAACAGATTTTTTTTTTTTTTGGAACGGAGTTTCGCTCTTGTTGCCCAGTCTGGAGTGCAATAACGTGATCTCGGCTCACCACAATCTCCACATCCAAGGTTCAAGCGATTCTCCTGTCTCCGTCTCCCGAGTAGTTGAGATTACAGGCATGTGCCACCATGTCCAGCTAATTTTGTATCTTACCTCAGGTGATCCACCTGCCTCAGCCTCCCAAAGTGCTGAGATTACTGGTGTGAGCCACCATGCCTGGCCCAAAACAGATTTTTAAAAATTCCCCCACCTTCAGGATGTCTTTGGATACTTAACAACTAAATTTTTCTTTTCTTTTTTGAGTCACAGTCTCACTCACTCTGTTGCCCAGGCTGGAGTGCAGCAGCACAATTTTGGCTCACTGCAACCTCCACCTCCCAGGTTGAAGCGATTCTCCTGCTTCAGCCTCCGGAGTAGCTAGGATTGCAGGTGTGTGCCACCACGCCTGGTTAACTTTTATATTTTTCATAGAGATGGGGTTTCACGATGTTGACCAGACTGGTTTTGAACTCCTGATTTCAAGTGATCCACCCACTCTAGACTCCCAAAGTGCTGGGGTTACAGGGATGAGCCATCACAGCTGGTCTATAACTAAATTTTTTAAAACCACAATTTGTTTTAGGTTTTATAATCAAAATTAGAAAGCAGGGCCAGGCACAGTGGGTCACGCGGAGGTTGCAGTAAGCTGGGATTGCACCAGTGTACTCCGACCCAGTCAAGAGTGCAAGACTCCATCTCAGAGAGAGAGAGAATAAAAAGAATAACATGTTTGCAGTAGATTTTTGGTAGGTAGTTATATATCCAGCTTACCCATGAGTTTCTTCATTTAGCCTCTTCTCTTTTGCTTCTTTGGAACCAAACCAGGTCCATAGACATTCTTTCTGCCAGTTCAGGCATTCTGATTGCATTGGTGTAAAAAGAAGCCGGGACCTGTGCTTTTGTTTCTCTAAGAGTGTCCTCTCACCTTGAAGATACCGACTTTGCTGGCTCATTCTGAGATTTGTGGAAATCAATATCCCCTGCCTGCTTCTTCCCACATGCAATACTGCTTGAACTCTGCTGCTCTGGAAACTCCTTCACATACTTTGTGGTTTACAGTTTCTATTTCTTCTAGTTTCAATGAAGTTAGAGTTGCTAGTTCTCATTCTCTTTATGGCTTTTTGATATTATTCACTGAAGGGAATTACTGACTTTTTATTGACATCTTCCAGTAAAAAATCACAGCAGAATTCTTATCAGAAACTCACAAGCTAATCCTAGTTAACTGGCAAGTGCAAGGACCAAAAATAGCTGAGAACATTTGAGCATAATAACTGAAATGATGCTATTGCTATTAGAAAAAAAGATAGATGAAGAAACAGAGAGATCGATCCAAGATGGCCGACCACTAACAGCTCAGGATTGTAGCTCCCAGTGAAAGCTCAGAGAACGAGACGACGCCACACTTTTAGACGAATTTTCGTCACTCACCGATCAGCCGATTCCCAGTGGAGGAGCCCCACGGGTCGCCAGCGCGACTCTTGTGGCCGCCGCAGCGGTTTTGCCAGCGTCTCGGTGCAGCAGCTCTTCATGCAGAGCCAACGGGACTGCTTCCCCTACTGACCGGAGTTTGGAGCTCTGGGAACTCAGAGCGGCTTGTTGCGGACTCAAGAGGG